TCCCCTCCCTTCCCATCTCCTCCCTTTCCATCCCTTCCTCTCCCATTCCCCTCCCTTCCCATCCCCCCTTCAGTCCCCTTTGTCTGATCTAGTGAACTTCTGTCCCCCCCAGTGTTAAGTTCTTGCACAACCATCGCACAGTATCAAAACCAGGGAGATGATGTGGGTACGACCAGATCTTGTCCAGATTTCACCAGTTAGACATGCAGGCGCGTGCACGTGCGCGCGTGCACACACACACACACACACACAGTCTGTCTCTAAGGGATTTCATCACACCTGTGACTTCATGTAGCCACCAAAGCCAGGATGTTCAAGTGGACTGTGACCACAAGACCTCTGTGCTGCCCTCACTGTCCCTCCCATTGCTGATTGGCACCCACCACCCTGTAACTGGGATCCCATGAGTGCAGGACGGGTCCTTCTGAGATCCCCTTTGATGTGGTTCATTCACATGGAGGTGACCTGCTTGTGTGACAGACCACAGGCTTCCCGCCCTGTCCCCACCGCTCCTCCTGCTTGAGCCACCCCCAACTTCAAACCTGCCCAGTAGCAGCCAGGACCCCCGTCACGCCATCTCTGTGTTGCCCTGTAACCCGTAGCCCCAGCGCTCCGGGCCCAGAGTTTTGGAGTGTGAGTCCATCTGGGTCCTCTGGTGTCAGCAAACCCGAGTCCTTCAGCACGTGAGCCCCTGGGACCTCTGTCCCCACCACAGCACTGCGGGGTAGTGTCCAGTCAGGGACTAGCATAGGCAAGACAGTGGTGAGCTCTTGTGGGCAGTGTCCACGGGCAACAAGACTTTGTCCCCGTGGAGTCTGGTCAGTGCAACTGCTGGGTGCCCAGTCCACCCTGGAGTGGGGAGGACCGGCCGTCCCCCTCTCGGAACCCACAGGGAGGGAGCTGGCTTCCCTGCCTCTGGCCACCATGTGTGCTGCCATGCATCAGCTGAGCCATTCTGGCAGGCGCCACGCTGGGCTGGAGGGGCCTCCTGGGCCTGGCTCCAGTTGGTGGTGTGTGGTGACACTGAACAGCTCTTCACGTGCCGTCTGTCACCTGTGTGTCGGAGCAGGCGGTTTGTCAGCGCACGCAGCCCTCAGGAGGCTGCCAGGCTTTCTCTGCAGGGGCTTCCTACAGAGGGACCGCGAGCACAGAGGGCGGCCTCCCACGCAGCGGCAGGCAGCAGTCCAAGGGCCAGCTCGTCCCCAGGCGTCCTGCCTGTGCACTTGAGCCCATACCCCCATCGCAGGTGGCAGGCCACCCCAGATGTAGGGGTGAAGCCCTCCTTGGTTTCCCTCGCGAGCCTGGGCTCCGGCGGATGTGGCGGGGG